CTGCTGGACATAGAAATAATAATGGTAATAAGGAAGGAAGGGGGAAAAATACTCAATTTTAAGAGTACTTTTAATGTATTTTTGTTATTACTGCTATTTTCATTTGTCTATTATAATATCTGTCACGTTATATACTGTACAATGTCTTATGTTTGTTGCTTATACTATCATAATTGTTAATTGTAAATGCCCCCTGTGGGACCCTGATTGGAATAATAAAATATTTGATATTTGATTTGATTTGGTACCTCATATCTACAAACCAAATACATGTAATGTCACCCTATCTACTGATTATTATCTCAGATATCCAAATTATTACAAAGAAAGTAAAATAATTTCCCCCTGTTTGGTTTTAAACAGATATTAGTTAATATTGATAAATGTATCATTTGTGCAGTACAGTGACAGATTCGGGGGAGGGGAAAGGGGGGATGGTTTGTATTACTGGGTAGTGTCGTCATACATATGATACAGAAAAAAAAATCTATCATGTCAAAATCATGATACAGAAGGAAATTTCCATATGCACGATTAGAAAACAAGAATCATTTACAGAATAAACATTTCTTACTGGATAGAGAAAAATGGCCAATAGAATTACAGAACTTATGGAAAAATAGAACAAAATTATTTACTGGCATTCATATTGATATAAAAATATCCCGGTTTGTTGGGTTTTTTTTGTTATTTTTTGTTTATTTGTAGATCTGAGAAAAAAACAGTTCTGTTTCACTTTAATAAACAATTGGCTTAAAATTGTCACATGGTGTCTTCTTATGTCGTCTGAATACATAATATATGTCATTGATCCGTAATATGTTTATTTGTCATACCATATTCGATAGAAGTGCGGACGTGAAAGAAAACACTCTTCACGTAAACGTCAACGAAGGTTACATTCCAAGGAGATTACATTTCGAAGATTTCGCCATTTATAAAACATAATCATTAATACGTGTATCTTAAGACAGAAGTTGTATGAGAAATATAAAAAGTAATATATATTTATAACAAGCTACGGGTTAATAACTCAAATATTTCAAGATCTTTCTCCTGTGACTTTTTGTCAGGACTGTGACTTTCTGTCCATTTACCGATGCTTACAAAATGCTACTTGTTATTTTATCTATCATAGATTCTTTTTATGTTTTACAGTGTTGCTAAAGAGATAAAACCTGCGTTTTTGCGAAGTTAGGTACACTTTTTAGTTTCCAAACATCTTTTTTACCGGTTACATCACTGAGAAAAAAATTCTCAGCTGAGAAAAAAAATTCTCAGCTAAGAATATTCTCAAAGTTGAGAATATTTTTTTATGGCGGAGTAAAAAGTTCTTATTCTTAGCTGAGTAATATAATTCATTCTGAGAATATTTTTTTACTCAGAAAATAAAAGTTTTATGGCGCCGGGGCCAGGGCCGGGAACTCTAGATTTCCTGACGTCAGAATATATTGCGACTGTCATACATAGAGGTTTAGCGCTATAAAACCAGGTTCAATCCACCATTTTCTACATAAGAAAATGCCTGTACCAAGTCAGGAATATGACAGTTGTTGTCCATTCGTTTGATGTGTTTGTGCTTTTGATTTTGCCACTTGATTAGGGACTTTCCATTTTGAATTTTCCTCGGAGTTCAGTATTTTTGTGATTTAACTTTATGCATAGTAATTTCCGAAATAGAAGGTAAACGTGGCCTTGAAAAAGTGACTTATCGACGCAATGCACTACAATGCATTGTGGGCTACTACTAGTCCAAATAATTATGACGTCTTGAAAGGCTATTATATTTTTTTTCTTTGACGCCTTACGTCGAAAAATATAATAGCCTTTCAAGACGTCATAATTTTTTGGACTAGGCTACTACGAGTTTACTACCACTTAAAAAGTGTTAGAATTAGTGGAAAACTGTCAACCAAAAAAATGAAAATGGATTATAAATGTGGATACAAAAAATGAAAAACTAAGCGAAGTTGTTTATCCCGCAATGCATGAAAAAATGTGTTTGAGTTCAGTAAATAACACGTTCTCTCGGTTGATCGTAAACACGTAGTAGTCCATCATGCATTGTTACTCATTTGGTCGATTGGTCAAAACCCCAGGTTAAAACTAATTGCGTCATACGTAAATAAACAATTACATTTGCGAGGACATAATTATGCTAATTTATGCATATCAATATATGGTAGTGTTTCCGACCTGTTTAAGTATGACGATTATTATTCAATCAGGTAAGTTTGCGCTAAAATGGGCTATCGAAAATACAGGTGAACGGATTAATCCTGCGCTAAAATGAGCTATAATGTCTGCGCTAAAATGTCCCCTGGTAGTTCAAAATTTTTCGCTTAAAAGTCCTGCGCCCGTTCTTAAAGATTGGTATGACGTTACCTATAATCCATGCCTCGGGTAAAATACCCGAATCAAAACAGCATTAAATATATACACATAAATATACACATAAATACTAATCATACAATCAATAGACCAAATGGTCTGGGTAAGAAATGGTTTTTGCTAGGGTACGAAATGGGGGGGGGGGGGGGGGGGGGGGGGAGGGTGCACGAAATGGTTAGGGTACGAAATGACTATAATTCTCTCAGTTAAAGGGAAATTCCTTCAGAAAAAAGAAAAGATTTTCAGTTTTCACTTCTAACACGAACATCGAAGATACTGCCACTTTAAACAATATTAATAGTTCGACCAAAGGGAAATAACAAGAGCTAATTCAGGAGTTCTTAGTTTGATTTGGTTAGTCTAGGTTCCCTCTGGTCGTATGGCTCCCCATGTGTTCAGGTACATTTACATCATTGGCTTTTAAGTTTTTGGGTTTGAGCGTTCCTGATGTAAGTAAATCACATTCATTCAATTTTTAAAGTGTTAATTTTTTCCCTAACGTAAAAGGTTCCCTTTTTCTAAAACCTTTGGTATATATATATATTGAAACTTACTGCACTTCTCTGTCTGCCGACTCGTTCCCGTCATTTTCATGAAGCAGATTCATACAGGGGCTTATCATCTCTTCATAATTTGTTGACCATTATAGAATATCACTGTCACAAGTTCCACTTGTTCTCTCATAGTCCGTTCCTCTTTCTTCCAACTGTGATATTTCCGAATGAGACTTATCCCGGACCCTTATTTCTACTTAGGATAAAATGATGGGTGCCACCAGTGGAGCAAGAGCTGCTTATTATCTCCCGGAGTACCTGAATTCACTGGTTTTTGTTGGCGTCCATATTTTTCTCCGCTTTTCTTTTTGGTCAGGTTGGTGTCTGTTTTTATAGGACTTATGCTTTGTGATTTCCTCGCTTGGTAACTTCACTCTCTGTCAAGTTGATATTAAAAGGAACTGATTTAAATAATGTAGAAAGCATACGTCATAATATGTACGTATTTGGGTAGCGTCTCGGATTTTGAAATATGCCAAAGCAAAATAAACTTACATTGAATGTTAAAAATATTATTTACGAACATAACACTGTAAGTGTTAAATGTTATAGTTCTCAACTTCTCCGCCTGCTTCGGACCTACAAGAATATTGTACATATTGAACATGTATATAGATTAATATGTGTATGAAAATCTTAGTTTTGAAAGCAATGCATTTACAATGGTGTAACAGTTAAAACTAGCCTACTATGTGTGTTATTCTTCTGTGTTGTTTTTTGTGGACTATTGGTTCAGGCGCATATCTAGCCATTTTGAAAATGTGGTTTCAACCGCTGGGAGGGACACCATAAAACGTTCACCTAATAAAAAACAAATAAAAAAAGCCAAAAAATAGGGAAGTTACAACCCCCGGAACACCCACCAGAAACCGCCAATGTGCTTTTCTTTTTGCGTTTTTCCCTACTGTCATAATGGATTTGTCTGGTTTTTTTTTGTTGTACTTATAAAGTCACGATAATTATTTCCGCTCGAATGTTTTATTAAAATCTAATTGGTGTTTGCCAAACGTCCAGTGATAAATATATATCACGCAAATAATTCATCTATCAATGAATTATGTAGGTTGTGCAAGATGACCCGACCCGACCGGGATGAAGTACGTGAATCATAGACGGCGACTGTGCAAAATGGAACGTTTTAGCGGCAGGTCACTAATTATAACGGATTCTGTTACTTGGGTGGGGTATTTTTCGAACATTGGCCATAGATTTTAACACCTAGCAAATTTAACAGGACAAGGGTTGCATAGAAAAAATATTTTTATTCAAGAATATTGAACAACGTTCCATTTATAAAAAAATGTTGTTGTATAACTAGATCGTCTTATTTTTGTTTATAGTTAAGAATAGAGAATAAGGGGAGACGAAATAATTACGCTTGACATACTTCGGGATGCCTGCTACGAATGATTCCGACAACAAAGGTAGGCATGTTATACACCATTGTGTAGATAAATCAATTTAGGTGTACGGCATAACAAGTTTTAGTGGGGTAGAGAATCAAGAAATCGAAATATAACAAAAGTTCGCGACCGGGTGACTTATTTCAAAAATGCAAGTTAAGTACCTTGTGTTATATTAAGATACATGTGTATAGGAATATTTTTTTTTCAGAGACAAGTGCCTGTGATCATTATGGTGACCAGATGAGGCCATTTCTCGTTTTCGCCTTTTAGTTTTTATAGGGCGAAAACGCGAACTGGCCTTACCCGTCCACCATACATCATCGTGACCACTTACACAATGAATTATATCAGATGGATCTTTCCTACCAAAGCGCTTATTAAGTTTGGCAAATCGTAATTAAAATCTTCTACCGGAAGGCTCTTTCAAATTAAAATGAAAATCATTTCCAAATTCAAATATTCATATAATGCGAGGGTTTGGGTGTAGGTGCATAAAGGTTTGCTTTTTTGTTTAACAAAAAACGAATGGAAAGAAACAACAAACTGACAACAGAAACAGATAAAATAGTGACAAACAAGAAAAGTTATGTGCTCTGTGTTTTACGCTATTCGATTCTGATGTACATGCGTATCTCACACACATTCATTTATGAATGAGGAATACTCTACATCACCATTTATGAATGAGGAATACTCTGCATCACCATTTATGAATGAGGAATACTCTACATCACCATTTATGGATGAGGAATACTCTGCATCACCATTTATGGATGAGAAATACTCTACATCACCATTTATGAATGAGGAATACTCTACATCACCATTTATGAATGAGGAATACTCTACATCACCATTTATGGATGAGAAATACTCTACATCACCATTTATGGATGAGGAATACTCTACATCACCATTTATGGATGAGAAATACTCTACATCACCATTTATGAATGAGGAATACTCTACATCACCATTTATGAATGAGGAATACTCTACATCACCATTTATGAATGAGGAATACTCTACATCACTATTTATGAATGAGGAATACTCTACATCACCATTTATGAATGAGGAATACTCTACATCACCATTTATTTAGAGGAATACTCTACATCACCATTTATGATGAATTCTGTCGTTTTGACTTTATTTCAAGTGCACAGTAATAAAGCTGTTATCAAAAAGGTTTGCATTTTGTAATGTGTTGTGATCGATCAATTTTCCTTCACAGAAAAAAAAAGAATAAATGAAATAGTGATATTAACATATATACATTCCTATATCCCCGGTAATCTATGTCAGGGGCTTTAGTTAAGTGTTCTCTGTTGTTTACGAGTGTTGTCAAAGCTAATATACTCGTATCTTTATTTTAATCTGTTGTTTAAGAATGTTGTCGAATTTAGAGTTTACATTGTTTTCTATTGTTTTCGAGTGTTGTCAAAGGTATTGTTTACAGTGTTCTCTGCTGTTTACAAGTGTTGACGAAGTTATAGTTCTTCTCATACATTTTATGATGGTATAATATTAAACCCCTAACAGGAGGGATTGTGCCTGATATTCATATGATGAAGACATAATCTTTCAATCAGTTTAATTGAGGTCTGGAGCTGGCATGTCAGTAACTGGTAGTAGTCTGTTGTTATTTATGTATTATTGTCATTTTGTTTATTTTCTTTTGTTTCCTATTCTGACATCGGACTCGGACTTCTCTTAAACTTAGTTTTACTGTGCGTACTGTTGTACGTTTGTTTTTTCTACATTGGCTAGAGGTATAGGGGGAGGGTTGAGATCTCAAAAAACATGTTTAACCACGCCGCATTTTTGCGCCTGTCCCAATTAAGTAAGGAGCCTCTGGCCTTTGTTAGTCTTGAATCGTTTTTAATTTTAGTTTCTTGTGTATAATTTGGAGTTTAGTATGACGTCCATTATCACTGAACTAGTATACATATTTGTTTAGGGGCCAGCTGAAGGACGCCTCCGGGTGCGGGAGTTTCTCGCTGCATTGAAGAACCATTGGTGGCCTTCGGCTGTTGTCTGCTCTATGGTTGGGTTGTTGTCTCTTTGACACATTCCCCATTTCCATTCTCAATTTTATTCTGTGTTATTTACGAGTGTTGTTTAAGCTATAGTTTACAGTATTTTTTGTTGTTTACGAGTTTTATTTCAGCTATAGTTTACTGTGTTGTCTGTTGATTTCGAGTGTTGTTTAAGCTATTGTTAACTGTGTTGTCTGTTGTTTACGAATGTGTGACCAAAGGTAGAGTGTACATGCTTCACTGTTGTTTACGAGTGTTGTGTAAGCTATAGTTTATTGTATTTTCTGTTGATTTCGAGTGTTGATTAAGCTAACGTTTGCATTATTTTCTGTTGTTTACAATTGTTGTTTAAACTTTAGTTTGCCGTGTTTTCTGGTAATTTTGAGTGTTGTTTAAGCTTTTGTTTACTGGTTACATTGTTCTCTTTTTTACGAGAGTTGTTAAAGCTATTGTTTACAGTGTTTTCTGTTGTTTTTTTATTATTGTTGAAGCTACTAGTATTGTGAACAGTGTTATCAGTTGTTTACTAGTGTTGTTTGAGCTGTAGTTTACAGTGTTTTCTGTTGTTTTCGAGTGTTGTTTAAGCTGTAGTTTACACTGTTTTCTGTTGTTTACAAGTGTTGTTTAAGCTATAGTTTACAGTGTTTTTTTTGTTGTTTTCGAGTTTTTAAAGCTTTTGTTTTCAGTGTTCTCTTTTGTTTACGAGTGTTGTTTAAGCTATTGTTTACTATTTTTTCTGTTGATTTCGAGTGTTGTTTAAGCTATAGTTTACAGTGTTTTCTGTTATTTACGAGTGTTGTTTAAGTTATAGTTTACAGTGTTTTCTGTTGTTTTCGATTATTGTCAAAGCTATTGTGAACAGTTTTATCTGTTGTTTTACGAGTGTTGTTTAAGCTATAGTTTACAGTGATTTCTGTTGATTTTGAGTGTTGTTTAAGCTACAGTTTACAGTGTTTCCGTTGTTTACGAATGTGTTGTTTAAGCTATAGTTTACAGTGGTTTTCGAGTGTTGTCAAGGCTTTTGTTTACAGTGTTCTCTGTTGATTACGAGTGTTTAAGCTATTATTTACAGTGTTTTCTGTTGTTTTCGATTCTTGTCAAAGCTATTGTAAACAGTTTTATCTGTTGTTTACGATTGTTGTTTAAGCTGTAGTTTACAGTGATTGCTGTTGTTTTCGAGTGTTGTGAAAGCTATTGTTTACAGTGGTCTCTGCTGTTAACAAGTGTTGCCGAAGTCACAGTTTACAGTGTTATCTGTTGTTTAAGCAAATGTTTACAGTGTTTTCTGCTGTTTAAGAATGTTGTTTACGTTATAGTTTAAAGTGTTATCTGTTGTTTACGAGTGTTGTTGAAGCTGCAGTTTACAGTGTTTCCGTTGTTTACGAATGTGTTGTTTAAGCTATAGTTTACAGTGTTTTCTGTGGTTTTCGAGTGTTGTCAAGGCTTTTGTTTACAGTGTTCTCTGTTGAAAACGAGTGTTGCCGAAGTTTTAGTTTCCAGTGTTTTCTGTTGTTTACAAGTGTTGTTTAAGCTATAGTTTACAGTATTTTTTGTTGTTTGCGAGTGTTGTTTAAGCTATAGTTTACAGTGTTTTCTGTTGTTTTCGATTAATGTTAAAGAGATAGTTTACAGTGTTTTCTGTTGTTTACAAGTGTTGTTTAAGCTATAGTTTACAGTGTTTTTTTTTTGTTTTCGAGTTTTTAAAGCTTTTGTTTTCAGTGTTCTCTTTTGTTTACGAGTGTTGTTTAAGCTATTGTTTACTATTTTTTCTGTTGATTTCGAGTGTTGTTTAAGCTATAGTTTACAGTGTTTTCTGTTATTTACGAGTGTTGTTTAAGTTATAGTTTACAGTGTTTTCTGTTGTTTTCGATTATTGTCAAAGCTATTGTGAACAGTTTTATCTGTTGTTTTACGAGTGTTGTTTAAGCTATAGTTTACAGTGATTTCTGTTGATTTTGAGTGTTGTTTAAGCTACAGTTTACAGTGTTTCCGTTGTTTACGAATGTGTTGTTTAAGCTATAGTTTACAGTGGTTTTCGAGTGTTGTCAAGGCTTTTGTTTACAGTGTTCTCTGTTGATTACGAGTGTTTAAGCTATTATTTACAGTGTTTTCTGTTGTTTTCGATTCTTGTCAAAGCTATTGTAAACAATTTTATCTGTTGTTTACGATTGTTGTTTAAGCTGTAGTTTACAGTGATTGCTGTTGTTTTCGAGTGTTGTGAAAGCTATTGTTTACAGTGGTCTCTGCTGTTAACAAGTGTTGCCGAAGTCATAGTTTACAGTGTTATCTGTTGTTTAAGCAAATTTTTACAGTGTTTTCTTCTGTTTAAGAATGTTGTTTACGTTATAGTTTAAAGTGTTATCTGTTGTTTACGAGTGTTGTTGAAGCTGCAGTTTACAGTATTTCCGTTGTTTACGAATGTGTTGTTTAAGCTATAGTTTACAGTGTTTTCTGTGGTTTTCGAGTGTTGTCAAGGCTTTTGTTTACAGTGTTCTCTGTTGAAAACGAGTGTTGCCGAAGTTTTAGTTTCCAGTGTTTTCTGTTGTTTACAAGTGTTGTTTAAGCTATAGTTTACAGTATTTTTTGTTGTTTGCGAGTGTTGTTTAAGCTATAGTTTACAGTGTTTTCTGTTGTTTTCGATTAATGTTAAAGAGATAGTTTACAGTGTTTTCTGTTGTTTACAAGTGTTGTGTAAGCTATAGTTTACAGTATTTTTTGTTGTTTTCGAGTGTTGTTTAGGCTATAGTTTACAGTGTTCTCTGTTGTTTTCGATTATTGTTAAAGAGATAGTTAACAGTGTTTTCTGTTGTTTACAAGTGTTGATTAAGCTATAGTTTACAGTGCTGTCTGTTGATTTCGAATGTTGTCAAAGCTATTGTTTACAGTGTTATCTGTTGTTTATGAGTGTTTTTAACGCTATAGTTTAAAGAGTTTTCAGTTGTTTTCGAGTATTGTCAAAGGTATAGTTTACAGTGTTCTCTGTTGTTTATAAGTGTTGTCAAAGCTATAGTGTACATAGTTTGGTTGTTTACGAGTGTTGCCAAAGCCATTATAGTTTACATTGTTTTCTGGTGTTTACGGGCGTGGATAAAAAAAAATAATCAAAAGATACAAGCTATAGTTTCTGGTGTATACAAGTAATTAAATAAAGTTCATAGTGTTAACGTTGTGAAAGTGCACTGTGCAATCTTTTTACCACTGTTTACGAGAGTTTGCATTGCTTTTGTTTTAAACAAATTATGTAGATTTAACGAGCAGAAACGTCATGGCTAGTTACCGTTTGCTTTTCTTATTAATATGACTGAGGAAGGGTCTACATTTTCTATTGTTTGATGAAGTGTTATAATATGATTTTCAAATAAATATACAATATATGTACATTGTCGGAAAATATAAAATTTATTTGTATGAGCTTTAGAAACAGGGCGAAAAGCGAGGCTCGCCGAGCTTTTCTCCTGTTTCGCAGCGAGTACAAATACATTTCATATTTTCCGACAATGTACATATATTGTTTTTATCCTGAAATTTACACCCAACACTTGAAAATTTAGTTGTTAAAATCTAAATGATTGTCTCTAATTTTTCAAAGAAATCGACATAGTTTAAACGCGGACCGCGAAGAGGACCCCAAAATGAACTGGTACGCAAAAAGAAATATCCACATTACCGCTTGCTCAACATTGAAGAGGGGTAACAGGAGACTTTATTTGTACAAGTACAAATAAAGCAAAAATTTATTTGTGTACCTGTTATTTGTACAATAGTTGGATGATTGAAGGATAAAACCCTATTGATTATCCTAAAGTAATTTATACTCTACTTTTAAAATGTCAAAAGTTCTCTGACTAAATATTGACATATATAAATACTTCACGAGTACTTTTTTGCATTATTTCACACATGTGTATTATGCAATGAGTATTTATATACCGAACACATTTTTACTTTTTGGTTAAATTGACTTGAGGCAACAACGTTTTAGTAAGTATTTTCAATTCTCCTATGAACAGTTTCGTATAAAAGATGTATAGCTATTGCAGCAAATTAATTTCATACAATTGTA